GGTGAAAAGTCCGGATGAAAACTGCGGGTAAAAAATTCGAGATGGATAAAAAAATTTTTAAAAAGAAATAAAGTAATTACATTATATATAAAAATGGAGAAAAAGAATTATATCTCTTTGAGAAAATGGTTAATAAAAATAGTTTTTAAAAAAAATTAAAATAAAAAATTAGATGGATAAATAAAATATATTAAAACAGAAAAAGTAATTCAAGTATATTTAAATAATGGAGAAACTCCGGGTAAAAACTTCGGGTAAAACTACGGGTAAAAATTCCGGGTAAAACTCCGGGTAAAAACTCCGGGTGAAAAATCCGGGTAAAACTCCGGGTAAAACTCCGGGTGAAAAGTCCAGGTGAAAACTCCGGGTAAAAAGTCCGGGTAACAGTCCATATATAAAGTCCGGATGAAAAAACAGCCTCCGGCAAAAATACCGGACCGGTATAAAAACCGGACTCCAGCAGAAATACCGGACTCCGGCAAAAAAAAAGGACCCCGGCAAAAGTACCGGACTCCGACAAAAAAACCGGACTCCGGCAAAAATTCCAGACTCCGGCAAAAATACCGAACTCCGAAAAAAATATCGGTCTCCGACAAAAATAGCGGAGTCCGGTAAAAAAACGAACTGCAGCAAAAATACCTATGTCCCGTAAACAAAGCGGACTCCGGCGAAATTAGCGGACTCCGGGAAACAAACCGAAGTCCGGCAAATATACCGGACTCCAAAAAAAAACCAGACTACGACAAAAATACCGGACTCCGGCAAAAATACCGGAATGCGTTAAAAAAACCGGACCCCGTCAAAAATTCCGGACTCCGGCAAAAACACGGACTCCGGTAAAAAAACGTTACTCCGGCAAAAAAAACAGACTCCGGTAAAATAAACGGACTCCGGCAAAAAAACCGGACTCCGACAAAAAAAGCGGACTCCGGCAAAAATACCGGACTCCGATAAAAAAACCAAACTCCGAAAAAAAAACGGAGTCCGGCAAAAATACCGGAGTAACCTCAGATCCACCAAATATTCCAGCGGAATCTCAGGTCCGGCAAAAATACCGAACTAACCTAAGATCCGGCAAATATACCGAAATACTGTAACATCCGGCAAAATAAGATATTACTTTTCTACCTTTATATGTTCTTTAATTACTTACCTTCTTTTTAATACTTTTTTTATATCCATCTGATTTGTAATTTTTTCATTTATTTTTCTGTAAACACCCATTTATTCATTTTCCCAAGAAGATATAATTCTTTTTCACCATTATTTAAATATAATTTAATGACTTTTTCTCTTTTAATATATACTTTTTATCCATCTCTCTTTTTTATTTTAACTTTTTCGTAAAAACTATTTTTATTAATCATTTTCCCAAGGAGATGTAATTATTTTTCTCCATTATTTAAATATGATTTAATTCCTCTTTTTTCTTGTAATATATTTCTTTTATCCATCAAATTTTTTTTATTTAAATTTTTTCGTAAAAACTATTTCTATTAATCATTTACCCAAGGAGATGTAATTATTTTTGTCCGTTATTTAAATAGAATTGAATTCCTTTTTTTTTCTTTGAATATATTTTTTTATGCATCTCAAATTTTTTTTATTTTAATTTTTTCGTAAAAACTATTTTTATTAATCATTTTCCCAAGGAGATGTAATTCTTTTTGTCCATTATTTTAAAGTGATTTCAATACGATTATCTTTTTTTAAATTTTTTTTATCCATCTGCATTGTAAAATTTTGTTTTTTTGATTTCTCTATGGAAAATATTACTATAAATAATTTTCCCAAGGAGATAAAATTATTTTTCTCCCTTCTTTGTATGTACTTTCTTTATTACTTACCTTCTTTTTCCTATTTCTCTTATATCCAAATGGATAATGGATAAATTAAATAATTTGTAATATTTTTTTCCTTTTATTTATTCGTAAACACAATGTTTTAAATCATAAATTGCAAAGAAATGTAATTCTTTTTCTCCATTATTTTAATGTGATTTAATTACTAATTTTTTTTAATATTTTTTTATCCATCTGCACTGTACAATTTTTTTACTTGATTATTCTTCTATAGAAAACATTTATATCAATAATTTTCCCAAGAAGATATAATTTTCTTTCTCCCTTCTTTGTATGTACTTTCATTATTACTTACCTTCTCTTTCCTATTTCTCTTATATCCATTTAATTTGTAATATTTTTTTCCTTTTATTTATTCGTAAACACGTTTTAAATCATTCATTCAAAAGAGATGTAATTCTTTTTCTCCATTATTTAAATATTATTTAATGACTTTTTTTATTTTAATATATTTTTTTATCCATCTCTAATTATTTTCTTTTAATTTTATAATAAAAACAATTTTTATTCATCATTTTCCCAAGGAGATGTAATTCTTTTTCTGCATTATTTTAAGGTGATTTAATTACTAATTTTTTTTTTATATTTTTTTATCCATCTGCACTGTACAATTTTTTTACTTGATTATTTTTCTATAGAAAACATTGATATCAATAATTTTCCCAAGAAGATATAATTTTTTTTCTCCCTTCTTTGTATGCACTTTCTTTATTACTTACCTTCTTTTTCCTATTTCTCTTATATCCATTTAACTTGTAATATTTTTTTCCTTTTATTTATTCGTAAACACAATGTTTTAAATCATTAATTCAAAAGAGATGTAATTCTTTTTCTCCATTATTTAAATATTATTTAATGACTTTTTTTATTTTAATATATTTTTTTATCCATCTCTAATTATTTTCTTTTAATTTTATAATAAAAACAATTTTTATTCATCATTTTCCCAAGGAGATGTAATTCTTTTTCTGCATTATTTTAAGGTGATTTAATTACTAATTTTTTTTTTATATTTTTTTATCCATCTGCACTGTACAATTTTTTTACTTGATTATTTTTCTATAGAAAACATTGATATCAATAATTTTCCCAAGAAGATATAATTTTTTTTCTCCCTTCTTTGTATGCACTTTCTTTATTACTTACCTTCTTTTTCCTATTTCTCTTATATCCATTTAACTTGTAATATTTTTTTCCTTTTATTTATTCGTAAACACAATGTTTTAAATCATTAATTCAAAAGAGATGTAATTCTTTTTCTCCATTATTTAAATATTATTTAATGACTTTTTGTATTTAAATATATTTTTTTATCCATCTCTAATTATTTTCTTTTAATTTTTTTATAAAAACTACTTTTATTAATCATTTTCCCAAGGAGATGTAATTCTTTTTCTCCATTATTTGAATGTGATTTAACTAATATTTTTTTAATATTCTTTTGCCCATCTGCACTGTAAAATTTTTTTTCTTGATTATTTTTCTATAGAAAATATTTGTTTCAATAATTTTCCCAAGAAGATATAATTATTTTTCTCCCTTGAAAGATAATAATAAAAGTACATAGTACTTTCATTATTACTTACCTTCTGTTTCCTATTTCTCTTATATCCATTTGATTTGTCATATTTTTTTCATTTTATTTTTTCGTAAACACAATTTTTTAAATCATTAATTCAAAAGAGATGTAATTACTTTTCTCGATTATTTCAATTTCATTTAAAGAGTAATTTTTTAAAAAATTTTTTTTCCCATCTGATTTGTAATATTTTTTTCCTATAATTTTTTCATGAAAACTATTTTTATTAATCATTTTCCCAAGAAGATATAATTATTTTTATACATTATTTAAATGTAATTTATTACTTATTTTCTTTTAAAATTTCTTAATATCCATCTGCATTGTAATATTTTTTTTCTTTAATTTTCTATCGAAAATATTTTTATTAATTGTATGCCCAAGGAGATGTATTCTTTTTCTCAATTTTTTCAATTTCATGTAATACTTATATATTTTTACTGTTTTTATATGGCCATTTCATTGTAATTTTTTTTCTTAATTGTTGAATAAAAATTTTTTTTTTAATTATTTCACAAGGATATATTCTTTTTCTCCATTTTTTCAATTTCATTTAATGACATTTTCTTTTTTTTATAATTTTTTTATCCATCTCCTTGATAATATTTTTTTTCACTATTTTTGTATATAAACTATTTTTATTAATCATTTTCCCAAGAAGATATAATTATTTTTCTACATTATTGAAATGTGATGCATTTCTTATTTTGTAACATTTTTGTTGCATTGCGATATTTTTTGTCTTTATTTTTCTATAAAAAATATTTTTATGAATAGTTTTTTCAATTTCATTTAATTACTTATTTTCTTTTTTTAATATTTTTTTTTATATCCATCTGGTTTGTATTTCTTTTTTCCTTTATTTTTCTATAAAAACTATTTTTATTAATAATTTTCCCAAGATGTATTATTTTTCTCCATTTTTTGAATTTCATTAAATGACTAGTTTTCTTATTTATTTAATTTTTTTGTCCATCTCCTTTGTAATATTTTTTTTGTTCATTTTTGTAAATGAACTAGTTTTATTAATAATTTTCCCAAGGATATATTATTTTTCTCCATTATTTCAATTTCATTGAATAACTTCTTTTCTCTTATATTTTTTATATAATCCATCTAATTTGTATATTTTTTTCCTTTATTTTTGTATAAAAATTACTTTTATTGATAATTTTCCCAAGGAGATGCATTTTTGTCCATTATTTCAATTTCATTGAAATAATTTTTTTCTTTGAATTTTTTTTACCAATCTGATTTGTAATATTTTTTCTTTTCTCTATAAATTGTATATTCATTACTGTTTGCCCCAGGAAATATCATTGTTTTTCTCCATTATTTGAATGTGACAAATAATGTTATTTTCTTTTTAAATTTATTTATTTTCTTTTTTATATATTTTTTACTTCGTTCTATTTTATTTTCTTTTCCATCAATTTTTCTTTAGACCATAATTTATTTTTTTTCCCCTGTTTTCACTTATTTTATTTTAATTTTAGGAAAAAATAAAAAGTTGACTTCTGTTTACGACACGGAAACTAGCCACCACACGCTATTCTTATAAACTTTTGTTCTAGTAAAATAGTGTATAGTGACTCGTTCCAGTTGTATTCTTTATTGAAAATAATGAAACCTACAAAATACAATTCTAAATAAAATGACATTTCCAAATTTCATATACAGTGAACAAAATTAAAAGTCAATAGTACTGGATACACCGCCCTATACATAGAATTTCGAACAAAACGAATCTATCTATACGACTATCAAAAACGATAAAATATACGATTGTTGAGCCTGGTCGTAATCATTGTCTACTAGCAGATCCCTATGCAGACGCGGAATTCCTGAAAAAGAAAAATGATATGAGTACCTACTTTATTTCCGATAAAATTTGAAATACAAAGAAAAGTGATATGTAAATAAAATAATAGCCATTTATGATGTACGTGTTAAAAGTACGATTTTATTATGTAAATACGATGATGAAAAAACGAACGCAACGAGTCTTTTAACTTCACAAACAAAATAAAATCACTTAACACGTATTTCATACACTATTTTTTCTACAAAACTATTAAAAATGAATTTTAATAGTCATCTTGGATGGTAAAAATGACAATTAATAAGGCCACTTTTAACAGTTTTGTAGAAAAAAATTATTTTAAATTAATAAATTCAAATTGGAAAATAATTTCACGAACGAAGTAATTCTTTGAATAACTTCCACCGAAAAAGGTTATATCTTCGGAAATACACCTCCACGATTTCATAGATATTGTCGAATAAAATAGATATAATGAATATACAAGGTGTCCCCAATTCGAGTTACCTATACCTGAAATGGACACAAAATTTCAATAGTAAATAGAAATCATTCTTCATACAAATTTTTGCTTGTCCAGAAACCCTTAACAAAATAGTAATTTATTCAATTGAATGTGCAGGGCATTCAAAAATTTGGAAAACGCAAAAACAGTAAAAAGTAAAATACCTTAAATCTTAACGCTACGTGAAAAAGTAATGGGGAAAACTTGCTTGAAATTAAATTTTATATTTAAATATGAAATCATGGACCTCTAGTTAATACTCAACATTCTGAAATTTTGTAAGACTACTTATTTTTTAATCCTTTCGGAGAAAAACTTATTGATCCCTCTGAATAAAAAAATTAATTATTAATATGCAAACATGTCTATCTGTTTTTCAATAAAACAAAATTTTTTTATTAGAACGACTTCTCCTAAAGTATTAAAAAATATGTAGAGTCCTAGAAATTCCCAGAATGTCGAATATTAAGTAGAAGGCCATACTTTCATATTTAAAGATATTTAATTCCAAAAAATTGTTCCCCATTACTTTTTCACGTAGCATTAAAATTGAAGGTACTTTCCTCTTCACTGTTTTTGTCTTTTCCAAATTTTTAAACGCCCTATACATTAAATTGAACAAACTACTATCTTGGCAAGGATTTCTGAAAAAGCAAAAATTGTTATGAAAAATATATTTTTGTAACAATTGAAATTTTGTGTCCATTTCAAATACACGCAAACCTAAATTGGGACAACCTGTATCTCTAATATAAACCTAAAATATATATTTCTTTCTTATTTATTGAAAAGAAATATAAAAACTTCCACTTTAAACAACTTGTATGAAAAACGAAAAGTGATACTGAAATTGAAACATTAATATAATGGATAATTATAAAAAATTTTCGAAATCTACAAATTTCAATTACGATAAAATAATAAAATTGTCATGAAATGAAATAAACCCTTTCATGATCGCATACATGTTAATCACAAAATGAAATAAATTTAACCTTTACATAAACGATAATTTATTTAAAAGCCTAACCTTAAATTTTTCTGCAACCTCCATAATTGCTATCGCAGCCCGAAGTTTCGTTCTTAACATGTATAGGAAGTCAGAAAGCACGAGGCATCATTGTAATCTGGAAAAAATTAAAAAATTAAAATTTTTTTAATAAATATACATTACTACTACAAAAAAATTCAACGTATATAATTGTATAATAATAATAACAGAAATACCAAATAATATATACAAAGTGATTTAAAATAAATCAGAAATGTTTGAGCTTGTTGCCCGTTATTTTCTCCAAAAAATATTTACATAAGCGTAATTAAAAGTATCCTTATTTTCCAAAATAAAATGGTGCAATTAGAAACATTTAATAATTTTTTTTTATGACTATTACACTCTTAAACAATATATTAAAAAAAACAAATCAAATTAAAATGCATTTTGTGAGATAATCCATCCCAATATTTCTACATACACCATTGGCATTCGTGCAAAAATGCAATCATGCTTTGTAAATAAATAAAAAAGAATATAGGATAAAGTCCAAGAAAAAATTACGAGAAAAAAATGCGAGAAGAGGCCCAGGAAAATAGTCCAGTAAAAAAGTCCGATGAAATAGTCCAGTAAAAATGTCCGGTAAAATAATCCAGTGAAACAGTCCGGTGAAAAAGTTGCGGTGAAAAAGTCCGAAATAAAAGGAAAGACAATTTACAGACAATGTATGGTGGAGAAAAAGAAGCAGGCGAGTTTCTAAAAGTAAAAAACAGTTTCCCTTCATTTCCGTAAATACTACAAATCTTATTAAAAAAATGTAAATAGCAAACTTGTACGTAATATAAAGATCTACAACTATAGTATTTACAACTTTTTGACATAACCGGAAAATGTATGTGAAAAAGTAAAATAAACAAATTTTTAGTTTTTTATTTTTCTTTAACATAAAAGATTGTTTTTTAACGAAATTTAGTAAATACCTATTTATTTCCCAAACACACCGTAATTTTTTTGAATTGAAATAAAGATTTTTTCAGCTTTTTAATTAATTTCGAAACAACACCGTAATTTTCAATCGAAAATTTTCAAGTGAAAATATCTGGTTTTTTAAAAGCGTCAGTGAACTTTTTCTTCGTTGAAATATCTACTTTGTACTGGTGTAAAAAAATGTATACATTACTATAGTGTTTTCTCAGGAAATGGAAAATATCGAAAAAAAGTAGAATCCGAAATTTGTTTGTAATCATATACCATTTTCAACTATTTCTTAAAATTGTTACATTCATAAAAAAAAAATTACAAGTCGAAATACAGTTTTATAATGAACAAGCAAATAAGTTAATAAAGTTAATATTTAAATAATACATCTTCAATATTTTTAAAAAGTTGTAAAATCTTCTTTCGTTTCATCAAAAAAATTGTCATAGTAATATATTAATTTTATCCACCATCAGAAAGTAGACATTTCAAGAATGAAAAAGTCCACCGACGTTTTTACAACAGTAGATATTTTGACATGACAATTTTCGATTGAAAATTACGATGCTTTTTCTATTTTAAGGAAAAACAAAGTAAAATGATTCATATTTCAAATCATATAAAATTACGTGTTTGTAACTAAAATAGATAAGTGTTGAACATATTTCCTGAAAAAAATTCATTTTTTGTAAAAAAGAGTAAAATAAAAAATGAAAAACTTGGTTATTTGAATTTTTAACATAAATTTTTAGAATCTGTAAAAAAGTATAAATACAAAAATTGTACATCTTTTTATTACCTACAACTTTGCCATTTAACTTTTTTCCATAAAACTTGTAATTTTTCCAAACATCAAGAAAAACCATTTCTTTTCCTTAAATACTCACCCCCTTCCCCTTCCCAACCACAGATCGCCCATAAATGATTTTTCCTTTAATTTCTGTTATATTCCCTTCCTCTTACAATGGGTTTAATTCTATAACTTTTTTTAATTTAAAAAATTATCGACCCGAGTCTGTTAATACATAATTTATACTATTTTTACAAACATTTATTAATTAACAAATTTTTCGTGAACTTAATGTTTCATATTATCTGTTGTAAAAGTTTAACTAATATATGTCTACATTTTTTATTTATGGGAGGTCTTTTTTTATACATAATAAGGAACATTCCGCTGTTAAAGTTTATAAATATTGTGTTATTTATTCATAATGATTTTTTAAAGTTAACAAAAAATGCAAAATCCCAGATTTTATAAAAAAATGTAAAAATAATGATTTTATTTATTTATTTACCGTACATAATTTTTTAAGATATAAATTTTTTTTTCATTTACTATTATCAATATCATGACAAAAAGAAAATTGTTGTATTCAAATTTTCACTATTTATTTTATAAATATTTTGTTATAAAGAAACTCTAATTTTCATTAAATTTATTTTTCGTAACCCTAACTTCAATGATTTAAAGATTTTAGTCATTTAAATAATTAGATAATGTATTTTTTTATAAACAAAAATTTGTAAAAATAGAACCCTTGTAGATATGAAGCAGGTAAAGAAATTAATGTTATAAATCAATAAATTGTGTAAAAGATCTACCTCAATTCCAAAGCCCGTATCATCAATAGTTTAGAAGTTATAACAATTGATAAATTCATAAAATTGGTGACCATTTCAAGTTTGATGTGATAAAATAATCAAAATGCAATAACAATTAGAAAAAGAATTATTTAACATTTTCACGCATATATCTACATTTATAATTTATTTTGGTTACGAAAAAAAAATTAAATAAAAATCAAAATTTGATTATAACAAATTCTTTATAAAATTAATGAAAATTTCAATAAAAACAATTTGTTTTTGTAATTATATTAAAAATAGCAATTGATTAAAAAAAAATTTTTTTACAAAATTATTTTAAATGACATAAATAAATTAAATAAACATTAAAATAATTTATTTAAAAAAATTTTTTTTTTCAAATCATTATTTTACCAGAACAATAAAATGGCAAATAAAATTTTTCAAATTTATGAAACTTGTCCATTTGTTTATAAAAAATTCATAAACAAATAACATTAAAAATATTTTTAACTAAGCTTATAAATGCAATATATTAATAGAAAAACAAATAAAATTAAACATTTAGTAAAATAATAATTTTTTAGAACATTTCTCGAATTTTGCATTTTTTGTTAACTTTCAAAAATATTTATGAACACATAAATAAACCTTTAAAAACTTTAACAGCAAAATATTGCTTATTTTGTATAAAAAAGACCTCCCGGAAATAAAAACTTTATACATACTTTATTTACACTTTCACAAAAACTTTTATGAAAAATAATATACACAAAAACTGAGTTAATGAACACTTGAATAACTTTAACAAAAGTCAAATGAAAATTTATTTTCCAACTGAGGTGTATTCCCTGAAATGTCTACACGACAGTATAATTTATTTAGATTTTTAAAATAATATTGAATCCTATAAAAAAATTATTTTGTGTGGATCCCACCGCACGAAACAATAGTTTTAAAATCAAATTAAAATTGTAAATAATAAAGCTACAATTCCATAAATCAACAGTTATTTTCCTTAAATTTTCTCCTCTTTCAAGATCTTTTTTTTAATTTCGGCTATCTTCAATATTTTTTTAGTTATAGCTAAAAATCGAAAGCTACCTTTTTTTCTCTTCCTTTTTTATTTATAACAATTGCTATTTTTAATTACGAATAAATTTAAAAATACGAATTTCTCAGATTTTAATTCCAAATCCAATGTACTAACAACCATATTTTTAGGATTTCATTAAATGTTTTTCGCAAAAAACTAACTTCTCGAGTAGACTAATATAGCGGACTTCTAAAGCGTCAAACTCAATTTTCAAACAGATATTTTCAACCGATTGATCTAAAATTTTATATAAACATTCCATCCGAATAACAATAAAAAATTAACTGTATATATAACATTATGTATAGACCGATGAATATAACTCATTTAAAGAGAATATAAAGAAATTTATAACCTGGACTTTTATAAATGAAAATAGTAAAGATTATGATAAACGAAATTAATAATTATGCATAACCAAAAGCGCCGAAAGGTTGAAACTTTTCATTTCTTTCTCATTTCCGCAAAAATAATTGAATTTTGACGAAACTTATTCAAATTTTACCTTTCTCTATCTTCGATAACCTCAATTTTTTTATAATAAAGAATGAAGAAATGTCTGATTTATTTTTTTTTGTATCTGAAACTTTTTTTTTTCAAAGAAAAGTTCTACTTGAAAATATCATCATACACAGTTGTACCGATAATAATTTTTTTCGTTTTAACATATACTTTTTGTTGACAAAAAAATTTATAATCACCGTTGAAAAACATTCTAAAAATGCCAAAGAATTAAATATTACAAGAATAAATTTTTCCGTTCCTATTAACCATTTATTTAAATTAAATATATATTGAAAAACTGATTACAACATTGAATTATACGGAAATAATGAACAAATCTCATTATTTGACCCAAAATTAGTTTTTTGTTCAGTATTCAATTTTTTAAATTTGTCACAGAAATTTTGAAATTATGTGAAAATATGTAAATAAAAAAATTATACATCTTATTAACTACAACTTTGCCATTTAACTTTTTCCAGGTAATATTTTTGACAGAAATAACTTGACTTTATAACATTCTCCTCCAAAATAAAAAATTAAACTACTTTCCTCTTAAACACATTTGGAATTTTCATCTACCCCTCCTATATAACATGCCTACGTTTTCTTAAGATCAATAGGCGGTTTCTCTTCATTTGACAACATACAAAAACAACTTACAATCAAAGAAACTTATACATAAAACTTTTTTTACATAGGTTTTACGCAAACTTTCTTGAATACCACTGTACACATATACAGCGTATCCCACTTATGCGGATACGTGCAATATCTATATTAAAATGAAGAATATATAAATTTTTCTTTTTTCCTTCCTATGTTGCCAAATTCCTCACAATATACATATTAAAAAGATATGCAACTATACAGGATATTCCACTTTTCCTGGCCAGACAACAACTTTAATTTTTTAAATGATGACATTAACTTTTTCAATTTTTTTCGAATTCTACATAAAAAAT